AACCGCTGTATGGAAAGTGAATTTGCTCTGTAAACCTTCACCCAAATCACACACCAAAAAAAATTTAAAAGAAAAGAAAAAGAAACATAGAGGAGCTCTGGTGGTGCAGTGGTTAGGGCATTAGGCTGCTAAACAAAAATGTCAGTGGTTTGAACCCATCAGCAGCTCCATAGGAGAAAGATGTGGCAGTGTGCTTCTGTGAAGATTTACAGCTTTGGAAACTCTGTGGGGCAGTTCTGTCCTTTAGGGTACCTTTGAGTCAGAATCTGTTCAGTGGCAGTGGGTTTGTTTTGTTTTTTAAGGAACACAGAGCCTGTTCATAGTTTTTTAAGATACACACTTGCATTCCGTTACCTGGAGGGTAAAGAAGGGAAACAATCAGACCCTAGGAAATGTCACTCTTAATTAATTCAAAGAAATTCATACTTAGAAAACTGAAGAAATTCAAATGTTAAGGCTCAAGATCCATTCATCATAATTACAATAATTACATAATTACACTGAACTAGAATCCAAAAAGATAATGAAAATCTTGTGGTTGAGTCAAGCAGTTAAGGCTTCTGTAAATCTAACTCAGGCATTAAAATATGCATTTGTAAAACAGGAGAGTCCCTAGAAATATTTAACACCAAATTAATTATTTAAGAAGCACGTACTAGATGTTCTATTTTATGTTACGCCTTTTTGTGGTTTCTCAACTATGTTTAACACACCACTCTAACTCTACTAGTATTGTCTCTGGTTGGATCTCGCATCTGAAAACTTAACTCTGCTTTTTAAGTTAGTGGGAAAATTGTCTCCTGAAATGAAATAAAATTTGAATGTAATTTATTTTGGATGACACTGAGGTGATTTTCTCTAATTCACTGATAATGACTTGGCACTTCTCAATTAAGGTAGCCTCATCTGAACCTTATCAGTTTGGAACACCTGTTCTTTGAACTTGAGGTAATAAAGGAGAAATGGTTGGTGATTAAAAGAAATACAAAATGGGTACCATAACTGTCTTTAATTGGTTCATTTGATATTCAGAAATACTCCCCAAATTTGTAAAATATAAGTTTCATAATTTATAAAGTGACTTAACATTTTAACAATGCCATGTAATCTTAAAACTGGATGTTTAAGTAGTGCATACCATATTTCTAGCAATTATCGTAAATTCCTAAAAATGTTTTACATGGAGACAAAATTCTGAGAGATTAATACAAAAGGATAGTCTTTGGTTTAAAAAAGAAAGTATAAATCAAGGTCATTAACTCAACAATTTCCTGAGGTATTTTTTGCCATTATTATGTGCAAACTTGCTGGTATGTTTAAAGTGAAAGTTCCTGGGCATGTGAATTCAGCATTTTGATATGTATGTATACTTATCCAACATATTCAAGCTTGATCAGTCAAAGCCTCCATTTTTGGATAATCACTTCCC